CAGCGGCTGGCAACATGCAGATGCCCGTCGCGGAGGCTGACGTTGGCGACGGCGAGGCGCAGGCCGCGGCGGCTGACGGCGGCCCCCTCCTCGCCACGGCGGCGGCCCTGGCAGCAGCGGCGGCAGCGGCCGCTTCCTGCTCGCGGCCGTCGCCCGCGAGGCGCCGCCCCGCCTCGGCCGATAGGCCCGCGGAGGTGCTGCGCCGAGCACCCCAGCGCAGGGTGCAGGAGCAGTCGAGGCGCCGCGAGGCCTCGGCGCCCGCGCCCAGCCCGCGGCGGGCGGCGGCAGCGGCGGCTTGCAGCGGCCCAGCCCCTGAGGTGGCGGCTGATGCGGCCCGTCCAGCGGGATTGAGGGTCTACGGCCACCTCATGCGGGGGTCGCGCGTCGAGGGCAACGGCTCCGAGCCCCCCCTGGTCTGCTCAGCGTGCTGGGGGTACTGCCGCCTCCCCAGGCGCGCGCATCGCGGCCTGGCCATGCCGTGCGGGGCCAGCGCGGCGGCTGGGCAGCCCACGTCCCTGAGGGGCCCCCGAGCCCAGGCGCGGACGGACTTCGCACGGGGCACCCTGCCTGCGCCCAAGGATCCGTTCGCGCCGCTGGCCCCGCCGATGGTGAGCACGCGCCTGTGCTGGGCGACGGCACTCCAGGCCAGGCTGGGCCACGGGGCGGAGGAGCAGGCGCTCGCGGCGGCGCCCGTGCCATCGCAGCGGCAGCCTGCGGCCGCCCCGCCCCCGCCACCTGCGGCTGGCGATGGGGGCCAGGCGGCAGCGCCGCCGCGCGCCGCGGCGCCGCGGCGCCTGGTCGCGGCGGCCCCGCGGGCGGAGGCCGAAGAGCCGCGGCAGGTCCGCACAGGGCTCGAGGGCGCCCTCTGCGCCCGCGGCTTCGCAGTTGCTGCGGCGGCCCGCGGGTGCGAGTGAGCCGCGGGGTCGGCGGCCGCCCGCGCACGCCGCGCGGCGGGGCTCGCCGTGCGCTGATTGGGGAAATTATGCATGAAACCGCCGAGCCCGCTCGGCGCCCACATAGATAAAAAAAATGCCTCCGCCGTATTCGGCAGCAAATCATGGGAGCTTGGCGTGCCCTCTGTGTTCCGCCTTTCGCGTAGATTCGAGTCTGGGAGCCGAGGAGAGATAGGGCTGAGCTGGCGTCGAGCAGCGTCGAATTAGCGTCGAGTTGCGTCGATTCGCAAGAGCCGACAAGATGGTACGGGAGGCTCCCGTGAATTGCCACCGAGTGTGGTACTGCGGTCAGTTCCGCCGATCGCGCGGGGCCTGTGTTGGCACTTATTGTACCGCCTGCATCGTGATGGAAAGGCTCCGGTGGACGAGTGCACGTTGGGCCTGACGGTGGACAAGTTCAGAGGGTCCTCGGGATACGTGATATCCGACCCCGAACCACACCTCCGGGTCGGTGTTGGAGGTCGCCGCGGCGATCGCAACGGCCACACATCGGGGCAAGGTTATGTTTCCCAATGGGTGGCATGTTAACGTGGCTTATATGTAAGCATCTCGCGACAGAGAGTTGGCAATGCATGCTCAGCATGTGCAGTCCTGCTTTTGTGGGTTGGGGGCCGACTATCACCGAACCATCACCGGGACAGGAGGCGCAGGCCCAGGCGGAGGCCCAGCTGAAGGAGGCCCAGCTGAAGGAGGCGGCGCAGCTGATGGGCAGTCGCGGCCCCAGCACACCCCCGCCGCATCCCCTGCGGGGCTGGAGGGACGTGAGGCTGTCGGCGTCCGATCGGCTTCGGGTTGGGCGTGCTCGGTTTGGGGAACGAGGAGGGAGTGAGGAGAGGAGAGGAGAGGTCAAGCAAGCCCAGGAATGATGATGCTGCGAAGTCGCTTTCGCTATTCAAGGATGGAAGGACCCGGGCTCCAAGTCAAACGTTTTCGCGCGCAGCGTCCCGCTGCGCGGTAGGCACGAGCTTGTCTGAAGCATATGCTCCCGTCTCTCGCTGTCCCCCCCATCTCGGTTTTCTCTTTCATTGGTTCCACGCCATGTTGTGGATCCTGCTGCTACAGTCAACCCGCATAGAAAGGCTGGACAACCTTCACAAGGGCATCCTGGCATCCTTGCCCCTTCGGCCACCCCTTGGCGACTCGCGGGCCAGCCTCGTTCAAGAAACGATGACATGGCCCTCCAAGGCCCTTGCATCCTTACCGTGCCTCCGTAGATTTTGTACGTCTGGATTGCGGGGCTGGACCTTCACGGTGTTTTGCTGGACATCGGCCGTGTTATGTTTTTCGTCTTGGGAGGGAGGTGCAGGAAAACAGGTCGAGCAAAACGAAGCACACAGCGAAGACAAACCGACAAGCAACATGCAAGGTCCAGCCCTGGTGGCCTGCCAGCTGGAAAAATTCTGGAGCTCGGGGGGGAGGCCGAGGGGCAGGGCGGGCAGGTGCGCGAGCGGGAGGGGAGGCGCGGGCGGCGAGGGGGGAGGCCGCACAGGGGAGGGCGACGGCCCCGGGGGGAGCCCCAGGGCGGCGCCCCCCCGGCGAGAGAGAGAGCAGGCGCGGGAGGCCAGGGGGGCCGGGGGCGGCCAAGGGGGAGGTGATGGCTGGGGGGGGGGGGGCATTGTGGCGAGGGCCACGGTGCCTCCCCAGAGCTCATACCCTTTCCTTCTCTCAACACGTCCCTGGTCCCCCCCCCCCGGGCCGCGCACGTGGCCGCTGGATTTGCCCCCCCCCCCCCCCCCCTCTTGCCTAAATGAACGACACGGGTACGGAAAGAATGGGCACAATGCCCGACAGCATTTCCTGTTCATTGTGAACAGGACTCGCTTTCCGCGCCGCCGCGGCCTGTGTCCATTTGAGACGAACGGCCGCCTGCCGAACAGCGGCCGCTGTTGGCTTGGGACAACATTTGTTGTGGGGCATTGTGCCCATTTCTTCCGTACCCATTTCGGGCGTCCAAATCTTGGACGCCCCCCTCTTGGCCGCCCCCGAGGGGGGGCCCCAGCGACGCCAGCGACAAGCGCGCAAATGCAGGGTGGGCACCTGCGCGCCCCCCCTCCTCCTCCTCCTCCTCCTCCTCCTCCTCCTCATTCTCCTGCTCCTGCTCCTGCTCCTGCTCCTGCTCCTGCTCCTCCTCCTCTCGGAGGTTCGGGCGTGCTCGCGTATGTTTTTCGGGCAGGCGCGGTTCTATGTTTCTAGGCCTCCCAGATAGGGTCCGAGTAGATGGGGTCGGAGGGTCGCGCCGCATCGCCGATGCATCTGCGAGGCGGCTCGATGCAGGGCCCGATTTGCTTCACGGCGACGTCGCCGATGCATCGCCGACGTCGCCGATGCATGGCCGATGCATGGCTGATGCATCGCCGATGCATAGCCGATGCATCGCCGATGCATCGCCAATGTATCGGCGATGCGTCGCGGTCCTCCGACCCCATCTAATCGGACCCCGTTTAGGAGGCCTCTGGTAAGTTTGTGCGGCATTGGCGCGCTGGCGACGCCAGCGAAGGCGTTCAAGGTTGAACTCTGTGACTCGGAGACGAAAAACGGCGATTTGGCGCTCCGCGCGGATTTCTATGTTTACGCCCTTCTCTTTTCTTGTAGTGACGCGGAAGCACTGAGGGACGCGATATCGTCATTGGGCCCGACAAAATTCAACCTTGAACGATCGGGGCCGCGATCGGTTCAAGGTTGAGCGTTCGACGCGGTGTCAACAACCTTTGCGCGCGCCGACGCCGCACGAACCTGCCATAGGTTCGTACGGCGTCGGCGCGCGGCAGTGGTTCTGACCCCGCTCCCGAGTCCATCACCGATCAACAAAGACAAACGCGCGGACCTCTGACGTGCTGTCTTCCGGACAGTGCTCGCACTCAGGGTTTTTGTACACCCTAGGCGATGCTTAAGAAAACCTAAGTTTTCGTCCAGAGTCTCGATTATTCTTAAGTTTTCAATGTAAATCCCACGATGTCGATAGAAATGTTGGGTTTTTATTCAAGTTCTGAGACTCTGAATTTCTTATCCCATGATTTCTTAAGCATTTCGCAGGGTGCACGTCTCTGCCATAAGGGGTTGATTGGGTCAGCAGAGGTTTGCCTGGTGCCCGCCCGTGGGCGCCCGTGGGCGCTGGGTGGGCGCCTCGTGCGCTGCGTGGGTCGGCCGAGGATTCGCCTGGTGGCCGTCCGTGGTCGCCCGTGGGCGCCTCGTGGGGGCCTCGTGCGCTGGGTGGGTCAGCCGAGGATTCGCACCGCAATCCAGGGCTCGTTTCGATTCCTCCGATTCGATTCGATTCGACTTCGATGGCTTCCGATTCCGATTCGATTCGACTTGGGATTCCGATTTGGGTTCCGATTTCCTATTGGAGGCGTACTAGCCTGCCAATTTCAGCCGATTCGACTTTTCCCGATTCGGCTGCCGATTTCCGCCGATCCGATTCATTTCGACTGCCGATCCGACTTGTCGATCCGATTCTGGGCTCTCCTGGCAATCACGGCACCGCATAGGTTCCCTCTCGTAGGTTGCACGGCTTAGCTTGCATTTCTACGGTGCACTAGCTTACTCTGTGGGGCCCCGCTGGCGAACATGTGCATGCCTATCTTCCTCTAGGAGGTCCGCGTGCAGTGCTCACAGTGTCGCTGATCTTGATGCGTCCTTACGGATCTGGGTCATCTAATTTGCATGGTATCGTGAGTGGGCAACGTCAGCGCTGCTGCATCTTCGTTCATTATGTTATGTCATTCGTGGAATGTCTACAGACGCGTGCCGAGGTGGCGGCCTGGGAAGCAAAGGCGGCATGGGCGCCTTGAGCGGCGTAAGCGGCATGGGTGCGATGGGCGGCATGGATACCATGACTGGCATGGGTGGAATGCCCGGCATGGCCAAGGCCAGCATGGCTAGCATGGGTGCCATGGGCGGCATTGGCGGCGCGGGTGGCATGGGCGGCATGGGCGGCATGGGTGGCATGGGCAGCATGGGTGGCATGCTAGCCAAGGCTGGCATGCCTGGCATGGCCAAGTCTGGCATGCCTGGCATGGCGGGCATGGGCGGGTGCGGAGGAAGCATGGCGTCCACCACCGCGCCAGGAAGCACTGGAGATGGCCAACAGGCCAAGCCGAAGATGCTAGGCACCACCCGCTTTTACAGGGAAGGAAGGGCAGGGCTCATGTCGATGCCGCCGATTCGATTCGGTTCGATGTCGATGGATTTCGATTCCGATTTGATTTCGGATTCCGATTTGGGATCCCGTTTCTCACTGGAGGCCTACTAGCCTGCCGATGTCTGCCGATTCCACTTTTCCCGACGCGGCTGCCGATATCCGTCGATCCGATTCATGTCGATCGCCGATCCGACTTGTCGATTCGATTATGGGGTCTTCTGAAAGGGGGGGGATGCGGGGGACCTCTCAGCTGCAGCTTTTTGGCTGTGCTCGTTAACTCTGTTCTCCCATTCTTCTCGCCGGCTTGCATGTGTCGATTCGCTGCTTTTCGGTATTATGCTGCTGCTGGCGTATGTGTTCATTTAGCGGTGAGCGCACGGGGAAACCATTATGGCAAGGTCATTATTGTGGTTGACGTCATTCGTGCTCGTTCATCAGTTGCAGCACATGTGATTCAATTGTTCATTGAAGTTCGTATATGGACTGACTCCGCACGTTTCATACGCATGCAGCATGCAGTAGGTCGATGAAGTCTTGGGGTTAAACCACAGCCAGTGTACGGTGTTTCGGGCATGAGAGGGGCATGAAGATCATCCTCAATGAACGCTGTAAGACGGTTTGCTATAACAGGCGCCAGTTGCGGCCCATGTGGTCATCCGATGAGCCTCGAATGTTGTACATCGAAACGTTCTATCTTATGTATTGCAGCAGTGCGCTAGGGACACATCCCGATACGCCTTGTTTGGGCAATGTTAAGCAGATGGTCGACCCATGAGTGTGACTTGCCAGATCAGATGTTCTGCGTCCTTAGTGTGACCATGGTGTTTAGATTTGCACGTGCCCTCTCTGTCGGTCTGCATTCGGGGCACGTCTCGCGTTTTCTCTCTGCACTCTATAAGCAAACGATCCCGTAGGCCCTACGGGCTTCATGGCGGGCGGCATGGGCGGCGGCATGATGGCCAAGGCGGGCATGGCGAAGGCCCAGATGGGCGGCATGGACGTCAAGGTCGGCGGCGAGCGAGGGGGGGAAGTGAGAAGGGGCGGGCGTTCTCAGAAGTCTCGAAAGTCCCCCGGCCTTCTGAGAAGTGTTCTAAGCTTTCCCCGAAGACATAAATACCCAACAACTCTCCGAAGGCGCGAGGGCTCCCTAGAAGTCCCGCCGCCCTCTGAGAAGGCCTTCTCTCCCTCTCGCTCCCCCCTCCCCGCTCGCCGCCAGCACAGGGCGGCATGGCCAAGGCCCAGATGGGCGGCGGCGGCGCCCCCGCCGTGATCCCGCCGAAGACGCAGATGGGCGGCCCCGGCTCGGCGGGGAGCGGCTTCTCCAGCAAGGCCTCGGGCATGATGGTCGCGCCGCCAGGCCGCGGCCCCCAGTCCGCGCGCCCGCGGCTCCGCACCTCCCTCTCGCTCCCGGCGGCGCGACCGGGGAGGGGCGGGCCCTCTCGGAGGGGGCTCGTTCCGAGAGGAGTCTTCGAACGCCTTCCCCGAAGGCGCGCGGGGCGTTCCTCCGAGGGCGCGGGGGCTTCCGAGAAGCCCCCGCGCCGCCGCCCTCTGAGCAGGCCGTCTCCTTCCCACCTCCGCCCCTCCGCTCGCCGCCGAGCTCTTGCTTACAGCCAGGCGGCACTGCGGGGCAGAATCCCCCGATATTCTTGGGGGAGGAGGGGGGGCAGGTCCGCGCTGATGCGCCGGAACGAGGGCGCCCATCCCAATGATTCGCGGTCTCGAGCGATGTCTTCCGCGTGCGAGGTTTAGTGAAGGACGCCCCAGCATGAGCGAGGCCAACATCGACCACACAACAGCAATTCTGATTTTGAGGTTGCTTGCTCCCATCTGCCCGTTTGTCACTCAACACCTATATCATATCCCACCCCGGCGATACCCGCCCTCGTCGTTTTCGGTTGTACCTTTCTTGGGGTCGAAGTCCTTTACGTGCTACGCATTGTTGGCGCACCCCCGAAACAGGGGAAGGGGGGGGGAGGAGGGAAGGTACAACGGGGAGTGAGACGGATGGAGCACGAGAGAGATTAGCAGGAGGGGGTTTGAAGCAGGAAAACGAGCGGCAGGATACTAAGTCGCCGGGAGCGTGATTCTTGAGTGTTCAAGGCGCGGCGTCCCAATACATTGCGAGGAAGTCAAACGCGAAAGCGCCAACAGATTGTGCGAAAGTCCTACGCGAAAGCTTGATTTTGAACAAGTGGCACGCGCGCCATCCATGGTTCTCGCACATAGAGGACGGGAGAGGAGGAGGATCAGGGGGATATATGACGAGGAAAGGAGACAGAGGAGATACGGACTGGATCATGAGGGGCCATACGAGTGGGAAGCAAGGAGCAACGGAGAGAAGGATGACAGGGGGGACGGAGGACGGCGCGTTGCCGGTGCCTCGCCATGCCATGCCGTGCCGGAATCAAGCAGTCGAGGCGCAATGAGCGCGTTAAGCTTGGAGGCGAGGAGGGGTTGGGCTGGGTGCGCGGGGGCGAAGAGGAGGAGAAGGAGGAGGAGGACGAGGAGGAGGAGAAGGAGGAGGAGGAGGAAGAGGAGCAGGAGGAGGAGGAGGAGGAGGAGGAGGAGGAGGAGGAGACGGATGAGGAGTAGGAGGAGGAGGAACCGGGATGGCTGTGGTGGGCGGGAAAGGGGGGCGCGGTGCTGGTGCCGGGCAGCGCCGGAATACAAAGGTCGGGGCGGAGGGGGTGCGCTGGCTGGGGGCGATGCGCAGCGGGGCCTGGCTGCGGTCGAGGAGGGTTGGGCTGGCTGCGGGGGCGAGGAGGACCAGCAGGAGCTGGGCTGGCTAGGGAGGGAAGGGGGGGGGGCGTTGTGGCGGTGCCTTGCTGGGCGGGGACCACATAAAATCGCAGGGGCGGAGGGAGCAGGGGGCTGGGCTGG